ACACAGTCGAAATTCGTCTTGGTACAAATCTTTCACCAATTTCAGTTTTGAAACTTTGAAGTAGGCTAAGACACGTTTTCAAAAATACTTACCTCACTCGCCTTATTCGAACTATTTGGTAGCCGTGGTGAAGTACGTGCTCAGGAGGTCTATCTGTAAATGTTATTTAAAGCTACAGGATGAGTGCTGCTACTGTTGCGGTTACGACCGTAACCCCAGCTTATGGATTGCGTTATCTACAGCACTTCAAAATATAACCATTAGGATGTTCAATGTGTTCGCACTCAGGAGATTATCTACCCAGCTTCCGTGGAAGTGCACTTAAAGCAGATATACTCAAACACAATATGATTAAATATTGTATTAGTATTATTTTTACACGGGACACTTTTTGATGCAATTATGTGGTGATGGTTGTGTAAAATTACTATAAAAACGGATCAAAATCAAACGTATTAAAGTTTTTCCCGTGATTAGCATTCTGTTAACACTTTATTTAAAATTCCTATCAACCCCCAGTCACAAAAACCTAGTATTTTCTAACTGCTTCAGTATTTCTTGAATGGCGGTTTAAGCATGCCTCGCATGAATACAACCACCTTACGTCTTGTCAGTAACAGTTGCAACGGACAGTGAACAAGTCGTCCAAATCATGTGCTATGTACCTAATATCGATGTCAGGAAATGACGAAGGAATGAGGACTGTGTGTTTAGGCGGAGCTTATGCGATCCTTGATTCAATACTGCATTACCATTAAGTTTGTTTCCAATACTCGGTTCGACAACTATATATCCTATTTCAGTGAGACCAATAGGGCCAAGCACCCTTGTGCCTTTTGCTACATCCTAGTAACGGTGGCCGTACCTAACGACTGCATATGACTTTTGTCTGATTTCAAATTAATTGTCAGTATGTGCTATCGCTGGAATCAGGGATTGTTAGTTGGTTTTGCTACTTTGGAAACACCTACAGGTATCCTCAGTTAAAAGCTGTTTTTCAATCCTAACGTACTATCATCCCCATATCCTTTACTTTCAGAAACTTTACGGAGAATATGACATCAATTCAACTACAGTGCTGCATTCTGTTGGCCTTTTTGGCTTCTGTTCAACCTGATTTAAGTAGGTCTCTATTTCCCCGAGCTACAAATTAAAATACTGCTAGGCGTCATTTTGTAAAGAGATGATTTAGTACACGACTTAAATTGACAATCGCCACACATGCGCAGCAGAGAATATTAAACAAAGCAAAAAGTATCTGCCCATAACACTAAAAACTACAAGGTTTTCAACTTTTATAGATTACAGGTGACCTACGGTAACCACGATGAAAAGTGTTTTTTATGTGCAACTGTTTGGTGAAAACCACAATGATCTTTCTTTTCATCTCATGAGATAGTGTACAATAGCGAAATACTATATTAAGGTGTCAATTTTCATTTGACGGGTTTCATCAGGTTTGCAGGTTGCTTCAATTAATGTCAGGTGAGGTTTGCGTGGCTGAACGAATCAACTTTAGGACGAATTACACATGAGCACCAAAAGCACGAAATGTATAAAACTGCGTATTGCAACTCTAAGTCGCAGCAGTGTTTCGATACAGAATACGTCTCTGATCGTGTCCACCTACATTCAACATCCTGCTACCTTGAATGCCTTCGTGAAGCAGTTGGAACCATATTCACCGGTGCGACCTTTATTTTTGCGTGAACTATTTCAGGCAGGAAAACACAAACAGGCGTTTCGTGCAGAAAGAGCGAGTGATGAAAGAAGGTTGAGTTTCTAATGAATCAATTTTCCCCCGGAGAGTGTACTCCCAATACAGTTAATGTTGATCAGAGGTCCGGACGATTTTAGAGTTCATTTTGAAAGTGAAAGGTCAGCTGTTGAACTGAAAATTAACTAAATCTGCGGGGGTTTATCGTTCAGGTTGGACATGATGGTTATCGTGAGATGTCTAAAAATAAGCAATGAAACAAACATACCTAACATAAGGTTGAAAAGTATTGACTGTGTCGTTTGGAGATGAGCGAGGATTAGAAATTCCAACTAAGCGAAAAAGACGTCAGGTATGGGCTCAGTATATGAGTGCAAGGCTTCCTCGGCTTAGCATCACGTGCAACTGGTAATAATCCCATTAGAGCATTGCGTTTCTAGTTTAGTAAATAGTTTAATTTCTGAAAAGTAGAACGTGTGATCATTGTAGGCTTTTTGTGCGGCTTACAGCCAGTGAGCTATAACAGATGCGTTCATATTTTTTCTAAATTCCAGTCACGCACTTCTCATCAGAGTGGTCGTATACTGATACGCTGAGCTGGAATTTAAGCTTTCCTTCATGTTCTGGACATCATCAGTCTCCGGTTGACCTGAAAACCAGTAGCGCCATCTATAGTCCACAGATGGGTCCCATTGAATTTATCGCTGCACCCGGCTTTGATCCGAATAACGTGCTCTATAATGTACTCAACGATGGACACACAGGTACGTTTGACAGTTTCGAAAGTATATCCTGATCTTTCATCATCATGGTACTCACGGTTCATTTAATGATGTCGAATGAATCCCGTTCTTGGATTTGTTCGCCTCATGGGATTCTGTGGGTGAACCGGTCGCCTACAATGGACGTGGTCAGCTATCGTTTGGGCTCTCGGGCCACACAGCCACTGCACAGCCGTCAGCTTAGAAAAATGGTGCCTATCCGTTGCCAAACCAGGTATGAACAACCCAAAGTTTAGGATTCACGATGCGGTCCGATGGTTGGGCTGGTGAAAACCCCACATAGGGGATAGTTGACAAGCTCCATCAGCTTGTTCTGTGAAATGCCGGCCATCAGAAGTTACACCTTGCATTATCGTATGCTCAAATATTTGGAGTGTGAAGACAGATTATTTTCAGATTCATACATGATGCACGTAAAATTAAGTGCACTAAATCAAAGTTCGAGACAATACAATGCCAGCGAAGTAATCATGAAGCACTGATGAAAACGCAGAATCAACACGGCAACCTAAGCTACAGTTTGTCAGTGGTGAACCACTTAACGGCCCCATAGATTTTTATGGTGGTACCTCCCCGGATGATATCGATAACTATCACCAGGTACTTGGAGTTCGCATAACTGTATATATTACAGAGTTGTCTCAAAATGCAGTAAAATGGCTCACAGCCTTCACTATCATTCACCTCAGATCGGCAGCCATCCAATGACGACTCTTTGGTTGAGCTATCCATCTCTATTTAAGCGGCGAGTAATTAGCATTCTCCAGAAAACATTGTCAAGATATTCAGCTGAAACTTGCAGTCGCTGGAACGTACGAGGCCAGCACCTTGTTACAAAACGAAACAACATTTTTACTCATAGTTATGCGGTCGTACGCAGTTGGGTGGTTCCCCTCAACGGGCCTCTCCACTTTCGTTCGACGGCCTAAATCTACACGGTGTGCACAAACGCCAGCGGAGTGCATGTAGAATCAAATATTGCTCCACCAAACCGTTTGAGGTTTATCCGTTTGATGGAAGTATTCAAGGATCCGACAAATTTCGACTGGCAAATCCACTCTCTATCTCTATCGTTTTTGTGACAAACTGATTAGGGTGATAGACGGGCCAAATGCCTAAACACTCTGATATTGACGTTGTGCGCCCAGCTCAGTACACTCGTGTAAGGTGATCCAAGTTGTCGTCGTTCTGTCTTCATTGTTTGTGAATTTTGCGGAGGTATTTTGTTTCATACCGAACATAATTAACCAAGTCCTATTTGAAAAAAGCGTGACTGAACGGGGCGCAAAAGCAGGTATGGTCGTACGATCTGAGGTTCGAAACACTGCATTACCTTGCTGTTTTATTCATAATTTGTTGATAAACCACCGTCTGTATGATTCCACCCTGTGAGTTGCTCGTAACTCAGAGTGGCATACCTGTGTGTTTGGTACAATCAGTAACGACAGGGAATCAATTTCCAAAAAGATTCGGCACTACTTCTTGATAATGCTGCTGCAAATTTGCTGGCATTCTCCCATACAGAAACAAACAATCCTCAGTTTTTATATTCAGTAGCTGTTCCATTCTCTGTTGTTACCCTTTTCAAGCAGTGATTTTGCTGTTACTGACCTCTGTTGCACTGTGTCATTTGCCAACCATCTTGTCCTAACAAACAGGAGTGAAAATTTGGCAAAAAAATGTCTTTATGAACAAGAAAGAAGTTTGCATTAGATGTACAAAAGATAGAGAAAAAGCGCTACATGTATAAAACCAAACAGTGCACTGTGTCATTTGCCAACCATCTTGTCCTAACAAACAGGAGTGAAAATTTGGCAAAAAAAATGTCTTTGGATATGAACAAGAAGTTTGCATTAGATGTACAAAAGATAGAGAAAAAGCGCTACATGTATAAAACCAAACAGTGTCAGTCAAAAGGTTACCCAGATTAGATCGCTCACCATCAGGAGTAGTTAACATATTTTTACAGTGACCACCTGGTAAAATCCGAACTGTGGAACACATTCTGCACTGGTCATAGGTAGATTTATGTTGAGCACGTCTGGAACCCACTTAAACAGGAGCGGAATTCTTTAGTTCTAAAACACAGCTACCTCAAGAAGATCGTTGACATAATTACTTGATAATTTGGCGAACGATTTTTTTTCCCATCGATCAAACTGTAATCCTACGTTCGTGACTAGTGGTTAGAATTAACGACGTCAATCATTACGGTGTCTAATGTTACACGTGCGAAATCATGATTCTGATTATGGCCAAAAATGGTCAACGCTGCACACAAAGGGCATTACGGTGACTGTGGGAATAATCTCTTATTTTCTAAAGCACCTCCGTAAATCTTGAAGTAATGAGAATGAGTTCAGTTTTGATTAGTGGAAGAAATTTCCGGGTATATCAAATTATCTGGATTTCGAATCTCAGAAAATGAAACATAATTTTACACACAGCTACGAGTACGTCCAAAGTTTGATGCATTATATCCTGGATCAAAATTTACCTTGTTAACTCGGTGAACAGGACTATTCGTTGAAGTCCGGAATTCGATGCGATATTCATCCCTGTTTGAAGTATGCTAAACTAAGGGAGCTGGTAAAGCAATAGCAGCAATATTCCGCGCTGATTTTCAAGTTACGCGATCTCAGATTGTGCAACCTGATTTCCACTTTCTTTCACCAATAATATTTTTTACCCGTTTTAGAACTATTACGTGACCTGATCCCTGGAATACATAAATTGAAGTTGTAAAAAATATCAATATGTCTTACCTTGACGGATAAATAATTCTGTCTTTGAAATAAATTATTCACATCCATTGGCGTATTGTCTATGACTGTGAAAAAGAATTTTCGGGTGCGCACGAACAAGTCTCTTTTGGTGGTGAGTGAAAGTTGCACTTTGACGTCCACGCGCGTGACGAAGTGTTTTTCATCAGTCATCTTGAACCCAGTCACTGGCAGCCTAAAACAAGGAGTATGTGGCAATAACAGTTATCGAGAGTAGATTACACACTTACATTTGTCACAGCATTCTACGTAACATTACTTGAGATTCAACTAGACGACTGCTACGTCAAGTGAGCTGAGATAGGACTATATGTATGCGGATAGTATCTAGTGTGAGTTTTACTCTCCGCTCATGAATTTTTACAGTTGTCATATTGTTCGACGAGGACCAGTGGAATGCAGTGATTAATCCTGATCGAGATCAATATGAGATTATGCAAATGCACTTCCACTGGGGATCCGACAATCTGCGCGGATCGGAGCACTTGTTTGACGGCCGACGTTTTCCGATGGAGGTACGTAGACGAGAGTTTTTTGTGCTCAATTTCATACCCACAGACATATCGGTTATGCAACCACCTTGATTTTCCACTCTGTATGTAAATAGTATAAACCTTTCATTGAAGTACATTGTCAAGATGCGATCATTGTGGAACCAAAGTAGATGAACTATTCCACGGTCACTTTATCTCCTTGAACGAACGCACTCTTAGATTCCGCCTCAATAGCTGAGGGATCAAACCAAAGACCGAACTATCTAAGTTACCAGTAGGTTACCGTAACACCGAGAAATTGGGATTTTCCTACAGTGCAAATTCGCAGGGGAGTTATTTTGCTTGTTAGTCCGTGAAATCGTGATTCTTCTTATAAGGATCAATGACGAGCGCAGCCATTTCTTCGGAATTCATTTGGTTACTCACTTTTTCACTGCTTCGGTGTTTTTGTTGACCGTACGGCAAATTGTGTAGGTTCACTGCGATCGGTTCACCCGCGTCAGAAAGGCAGCGATAGGGGCGACATTGTCACTGACTAGGCTTTATCGAAATGACTGCGTTTTAGACTGCTGGTTAGGGAAAGTGCACACACCCAATAAGTTTATTGGTACTGGCTTTGGTTCAAGCCAGTTTGGTGGATATCTGATGGTAATAAACATTGAATGCCTCAAACTGTTGCTGTTCTCATTCACCCACTATGATACACCAGGTGGCCGGTCAAGAATTTCACACTTTATCCAACTTGACGCTTCCCATTTCCAAGGAACCATCAAAATAAACTGCGGTGACAGCTTTTTCTCACTTATTGTGCAGTGATTTGGAACTGACCCTACGTTTTCCTACCAAAGGCATGCTCTTCGTTTTTAAGCAGTAATTATAAACCCACACGCTTTTACAAATAGCGCACAAATTGAAATCATGAGATCGCTAGCAGGGCGTAGTGGATTTTGCCACATCATGTCAAGCAGTGTCAATTCCAATAACTGGACTTGCTGCTGAATAGAGATGACTCCCGGTTACGTGCGTGAACGTATTAATTAAGTTGACTTTAAAATAAGTTTCAAAATTGTCTCCTCCCACAGAGTATAGTTTCAAAGAGCATACTATATAGAGTATCAAGAAACGTGTCTTGAATCACTGGATTTTCTGCACTTCCTTTAAGCCTTTCTGTCAAGACATTCCAGAGAATTCCAGGTCGAATGTTCCACGAATTTTTCCGGTGATACGCTCAGAACATCCGACGTTTTGGTTTTGAGTGTGAAAGTACACTCCTGTACACTCACTGCTGAAAACTCCTCGACAGCCCTTCTTGGGGCTCATCAGGTAGGCTCAGTCCCCGAGTTTCCGCCAACCTTGTGTTCTACTTGAACTCAAATTGGACTGTTTTTGATAAATACACGCATTTGCAATTCAATTAGGTTTTCACGAGAAAATCAACCGAATCTCTCGTTTATGATATTCTACAGCTGAATGTGCTGCACACAGGTTGCCTCATCAGTAAGTTGGCACGATATTCGAGATATCGCGGTGTATTTTAAAAAGGGGGCTGTGCCTACCTGATGAGCTCCAAGAAGTGTGAAAACGGTCGTGGGCTGTCGAATAGTTTTCAGCAACCTTGTGAGTATACTACTACGATATACTTCGATTTCTCAAATATCGTGCCAAATGAATCATGAGGCGGCCTTTGGGCGGCACATTCATAAACAAGAGATTCAGTTGAGTCCCTTCGTGAAAACCAAATTGATTTGCAAATGAATGTACTCCTGTACTTCATTCATTTACCCAATCATTAGCTCACGCAGTGCTACACGCGACCAGTTCGACTGTCTACAGTTTTGACTGGCTGAATTCTACGGTCTCTAATACATTCTTCTTGCCTGTGGTTGCCGCTAATTGTTAAATTACTTTCTGAATGTGAGAAAAGTAATCGCTTAGATGATCCATTGACAGTGCTTACGAGCACGCCAAAATCAGAGTCACGTTACATCCTATGAAGTAGTAAAGGGAGGATATGAGGAAACGTGTTAAATCTGAAGGCACGCTTAATTTTCAACTGCTGACGAAACAAGAATGAGTTCTAAAATGAGAATGTCAGAGTACAGCTCTCCTTCTTTTGATATTCAACCTTCTGAGCGAGATAACATTTATTCCACCATACCAGATGCTGAAATGTCTTTGTGGAAGACAGTATTTCTCAACACATGCCCACTGTTGTATAAATTGGTAGCAGAGGCAGTTTGTACCTTTCGCGCGCCCAGAACGGTGTTTTAATACAGTTAGCAGGAGCCTTCCTAGAATCGTACCTTTTAAGGTTGGTTGCTTTATGTTCAGGCTTGTTGTTTGCCACTGTGCTTCCTCATTTCCTGTGTCTATATTGATGGCGGTTATTGGGGAATATTTAGGAACAAGACTATATTCCGCGATTGATGATTAAACGTATTTGCCATTGTTGCTTCCTTATTAGACAACGTTGTCCCCCTTTGTAGACTCACATTTTCAGCTATAACAAAAGGCTCTACTCATCCCGGTTAGATGCACTTGCTGGTCCACATGGTATGGCAGTGTTTGGAATAATGCACACCCTTAACGATCACGCACTGGAAACGGAAACTCAATTTGGAAAAATAGGTCATATCAAGGAGGCTTTGGAAAGCGTAACCTACGCCGGTCAATCTTGGAATATCCCCGGCTTTAACCTCACGGACTTGCTGAGCCAGGTCAACTCAAGCGCATATTTTCGTTACCACGGTTCGCTAACTACACCACCGTGTACGGAAAATGTAATGTGGACGGTATTTACGAAACCGGTTCCTATCAAATCAACCCAGGTAAGTGAACTCCATTCATTCAAAAAAGTCGTATTATCAGAAGATTGATAGCCTCCAAGCAAATTTAAGTTTATCAAATGGACTTCCTTTATAAACCGGAACCTAAAGCTGGCCATCCCATTGCAGAAGAAAGCAAATGTTGTGAGGACCCTATGATCAACAGAGCACGTTGTACTTGCCGTGTTTTGGATAATGAAACGTGTCTCGTACAAAAGAAAATGGAACCGTCTGTGATGCAACAAAAGGAGTTAACAGATTGCTCGAAGGAAAGGTCGATTTTACGGTGCAATATTTTCCTCAGAAAATTCTTGATGAAATTCTGTCATTTGGATTCAAGATTTCGCTTACTTAGTGATCAGAAGCCATGGACTACTTAACATTGTTTGTATACATTTTTCAAAATGCCTGAGATCATTAAGTCATATCCTTGTGCAGATGAGATCAGCTCTTAATCCCAGGTAGATCACTTGTGTGGGAAACTACGAAAATAAAGCCCCAGGCGTTGTCTCATAAAAATACCCTTGTTTGAGTGTTTGGCTTAGAGGATATTTAGTGGCTGGTATCGTTTGCACGTTAATTTTTGGCTAGAAACAAGAATTTACGCTGCCAAAGACCTATTTTGGATTTTCTGATGATGAAGTCATTTAGTGTGCTCAAAGCGGCTGCATGTAATGGCGCTAATGGCAATTCATGTTACCATTGTAGTTAATCGTGAGGTCAGTGGTGGATAAGTTTGACAGAGGTCACTACCATTTAAATCTGCTTTTCGACTGCATCGCGCATAACCTCCGGAAATATTACTAATCCGTAACATCATATATGGGCTAGGCTGAAAAACCCCTTATACCATTTGACGGAATACTCAAGCCTAAGTTGGCACACTCTCAACTGTTTCTTCGTCATTATTTCAGCTAAACTTACTTCGAAATCTTCGCAGTTCATCCAACGACATCATATATGGGCTAGGCTGAAAAACCCTTACACCAACACGTAAAGCTGCATTTGACGGAATACTCAAACCTAAGTTGGCACACTCTCAACTGTGTTTCTTCGTCATTATTTCAGCTAAACCTACTTCGAAATCTTCGCAGTTCATCCAACACGGAAGAGATGCTGTATGATAATTACCGGCCTTCGCAACTGATCAATGATCCCCACACTCCTCTCCGAAGAAGTATTTTTAGATCGGTTCCAGGCTCATCGATTTCCAAGACCCGCGATGTTTCAATCACTCTGGCCAGCCTTTTGATGGCTTTCGTAAACAATCTAATTTAGGCACACATAGTTTAACAGAATGATAATGTGCCACAAGTTTGAGGTCTATCATGATATCTTCCCTTCTCCCATATCAATTCATTCACTCAATGGAAATGTGAAATCTTTTTTTCCAGTAAACTGTGGTCAAATGCGTTACCTGTTTACCATTCTAAAGGCACAAATAAATGCTTGCTTAATTAATCATTTCCATAAATAATTCTCCCAAACTAAGGAACTTCTGTAAATTCTGAACCATCTAGAATCGCCATCAGGATGGAATAAGGCATGTTTCAATGTACAATGCAAAGGATGACTTGTATCCCAACTTGTAACTTCGAAATTACCCATGTTTTTAACAAAGTTCTCGAAAAACCTCAGTCAAATTTCACTGACCGCTAACTGACGGGTATGAATTGGCATACCTTTAGGAGTGTTGATCGATGTTTCCCATCATTATGCATCTAGCCCTGCATTGACGAGACAGCTTGCGTTGAATAAGGTTGGAAAATCAAATCTCAGAACCAGGGGCCAAGAAACAGTTTGTAAAAGGTCGCCAGACATAAATGCGCTTTTGAATCATGGTACTTTAAAGGTAAACGTGCTTGACAAAATGTGACTGTTGTTCGAAATAATTAGCTTACGGAGAAAACTGACAACACAGTCGAGGAAATTACATCACATACCAGCTTTTTTCAGATTTGTTCGTCCATCAAGTTATTGTCGGTCCCTATGTAATCTAGCCCTTTTTTGTGGTGGTGGAGACTCATTGAACTGGTGACCAGAACACCAAAAGTCCATCGCCTGTTTACCGTTCACTGACATGATAACTATGTGGATATTTTTAATTTACAATGAAGTCAGAAGAAGCCCCAGGGCCGGATACTTCAATTTAAACATGATGGGTATTCTAGTAATGGAAATCTCGCCATAAATCCAAACTAAGAGCAGTCTTTAGCCACTGCTGTATTCCTTTGGAACAACACAGTTGAACGAAACAATAAACTGTCTTCCGAAGGGGTCGCTTATTGTCAAGCTTGTTGATTTGGACGGTGGTTATCGTGATTGCCATGACCATGGTAGTGAAACCGCTGCCGCCATCTTGTTCAAGCACGAGAATTTTTCAGAGAGGATATTGTGGTAGTTTCTAAATCACTTGTTATTTTCATTTTATGGTTCACTACTTCAAGGTGATTTCAGCGCTTGTTGTTATTTGCAAGTGAGCAGCCTCCAGTTTTGTGGACTTTTTCACAAAGTATATCAGAAGAATGACCTTTCGCAAACCATCAGATGTTTGTTTTTGTGCGCCAGAAAGACGTTATCTCGTAAGCTACAGTGCGGTGCGCTCTTCGGTACTGCTCTGCTGGATGGGGGAATCACCCGTTGTTCGTCCTAAACTAAACACTAAACTTTGTGCACAGGTAAACTGAACTTTGTTTACTTTTTCGTGGCAATATCGTGGCCGATAACTTAATGCCGATTCCGGAAACACGATTTGAGGACATATTGCACATATGTGGGTCGGACTAGTTACGCGTTTGCACTTCTAACTGCATGTCATCCGAATTGCGTTTCTGGTCAGCATTTAAGCAGCACTGACCTTATACAATAAGGCGTCTGCCATTCACGATCAGTCAAAGTCCATGCATCCTGAAATAGGCAGCCCCCTCCGAAGTGATACAGCTCCCAATGGGAAAAGCTGTTCTCTTCTATTGGCCAACTAGCTGACCAAAATCACAAATTTTTCATGAAACAGTCATTCCAAATCTTTTCTGAAAGTGATGTATGGTCAACGAACCCCCAGGTCTCCATTTAAATGGTCATCCCACCATTTCGCTCCGCTGAGCATAACAGTGCTTTTGGTTCTGATCCTCCTGTCATAGAAATTTGCTCGCTGCTAAATCCCGTTGTCTAAGAATCAAGTTTACAAGTTCAAGAGGCAAGTTTGCTGGTAACCTATATGGTTAGTTTTGCGTGTAGGCATTCAAGCTTATTACGCGCTAATCACCTGCGGATCCATTCAGCCAAACGTAATAAAGGAACTGAACCCTGGGAAGAAGATGGAAGCATGGGACTTGCGCTACGAGTTCCCTACATTTTGGACAATGTCAACCAGTTTGGAATGGGGAAATTCAAATATTCAAATATTTACTCAAGCGAGACGGATGTGCCAATCGACTTTCAACTAACTATTCTATACCCGATACCCTATTAGTTCAATCTACCTGAGCTTAGCATTTCGGGTAACCGAGAAATATATGGTAGACATGAATGTGCTATCTGGATTGAATGCTCAAGATTAGAATCCGTCAGTCTTTGGTCTCGTTAGTTGAAAAACGACTCAAAATCTCAACGACTGATAGCTTGGAATTTTTGCTTGCATATTGGTTTGGAAGGTTTGGTTTACACAAATCTCCTGAAGGTTTTGCTATTACCTTATTCGATACAGCCCCTCAGCATAATATTACACCTGAAATTTACCGCATAAATATATTTTAACATACGGCCATTGTAGAGCGTTTTCTACACCAAGCAAGTCAGTTTAACTAAAATCTTTCTGATATTTTCTTTTCTTTATACTTTCTTTTCGAATAATTTGGGGCTTAAGTATTGCACTTGGAGCGCCGTCGATCGATGCTAACACTTCTAAAAAGGAAGAAATCATTGATCCCTCAGTCACATTACTTATAGCTTATAAGCAGACATAAATAGCAGATATAATATCATACTATGGGTATGCAGTTAGTATGGGATTTTTCTTTTTTCTTTTTCTTTTTTTGTTTTTTCCTTTTCTTTTCACGTCGAATAGAAGGCGCGGCTCATCACAGGACTTTTGAAACGGCTTTGCAACGTCCGTTAACAATTGCCTGATAGTCAGTGAACATTCACGAAAGTTCAAGACTCGTGAGGATGTTGAGTTTTTAAGAAAACAAGCTCCATATGAGACACTTAATTTCCTGTCCAATAGTTTGTAACTGTTTATTTGGTGCCTCCTAGACTTTCCTCCTTACATTGGTATAACCTATATTTGTGTGCAACTACCGGCCCATAAAAGAGTGACCGCTATTAGAATAACAGTGATTCTACTGATGGGGGAGGCATGCGAATAGTATGTTTTCTTGTTAATTCGCATAGCGTCTCTTGAAAAAAAGAGATCTATTGCGGAATTTTTGGAGTCGCTTTGTAGCATTTGCTTTGATTTGAGCAACAGTCAATGAATATCCAGGAACGTTCAGGCAGACGCGTTTAAGAGAAGATGGATGTTGAGTTTTTGTAAAAAAAAATGCATATGAGAGTTTTGCTTCCCTGTCCAATGGTCTGTAACTGTTCAGTTGGCATTTTCTAATAAATAACTCCGCAGCAAGGGCCTTCTTCCTTTCATTAGTATTTCCTAAATATTCACTTGCCTACGAAGAATGAAAATTCATAATGGCATGTGGCAGTGCAAACCAAACGCCTGACTTTTGTAAATGTGTACCTGGATCTAAAGAAAGCGTCACCGTGCTGAAGTTCGATAGGCAGGTTTTATCACAAGGTTGGAAAAACATTTTAAGTTCAGTAGTTTTCACCAAGCACACAGGAACAACAAAAACATAATAGGTCAGTATCGGCTTTCTTCCATTTTGATATTTATTCTGCGGGCGCTTGTGCGGTTCTTGTGGAGATTAATCTAACATCGGCAAATTAAACTTCAAATACAGCCCAGTCTTGCTGATGCCACTCCGGTCAGGTCAAGTTAAACAGCTGTATGTGACCATCAGCCCTCTGCAATTTAAATGTTACTTGATAGTCTCACTTACAAGGTATGCTAAATTCACACTCAATCAGCAATTATTATACATGAAATTTTTTTGTACGATGAAACGAAAGTAATGATGCTAAGTGTGACGCTGAGTGACCAACAAACAGAGCTATTAGTTCTAAGTAGCACACTAGTTTTGCGAAAGCTTTTCAAAAAGTAATCGTTTAATAGGTCTGTTATGAAACAATCCACTTTGTAGCCAGTCGGAGAGAATACATGCGGATATTTATTCGAGCTCGTCCTAGACAGAGAATAGGTACGTTACATGTTCGGAACTAAAAATGGTTGTCTGGCTTGACTGTAATCATGAATATTTTATGCGATAAACCTCTGGCCTATTCGTGTTCACGCAGATAAATTCATGTGAGGCTGAATTTACATAACTACAAACCACTCCTCCCAGTCTGTATGACAAGCAATTTCTACTAAAAACAGATTAGTATTATTTCTCATAAAAAAGGATACGACCAGCTAAAATGTGGTGAGCACCTGCGGGGTCAGATAGGCTAGTCGTTGAACTCAGTTGAACGAAAAAGTACTCAACGTAATACAAGAACATTAGATTTGGTTGCGGTATATCTCCTAATGTCTATCTCAGAAAAATGAGACGTAAAAAATAAAAGCGATTACAAATATTCCACTGGGAAAGAGACTTCGGTCTATTTGTGAACGGAGAAATTTGCCTTGCTGTTGGCTTGGCAGTTTGTGCGCACATAATATTTCACCATGCTAGCTATTACTTTTGAATTTCAAGATACAGAATTGGTCCTGCAACAAAGCTGGTGGCTTGTATCATGTATTCACCCACAAGGCTCACTAATTGTAGTATTGATGGATACTTGGTCCATTTTCGGAAAATATTGAGACACTAATTGTATGATTACCTCACTCGTCTATTGCCAGGGCAGTTGGCAGAAAATTCCAGTACATCCTCTTAGGTCATAAAATGGTCTAAGGTGGCTCAAAAGCAAGGTGCTGCCTGCTCAATTCAGTTTGCAAACATCTTGCTGCACCTGCTTAAGCGCATCGTTTTGAAAAACGATGAACAATTAGGCATTGCAGCGGATATCACACCGTGCTGTATGAACTATGATACTGCTAGCAATAATTTCCTGATCCGCATTACGGCTCGGGTGAAGAATTTACTAGCTGTTTCAAAGCGAAACGCGTGAACGTTTGGGTGAGATCAGTACTCAATAGACGAAAGTAAGATTCAACGGAATGCATGCAGCCGAAGAATTCTTGAAAATGCATTGTTCCTAATAAGAAGCTATGTCTAGTCATTTTTCCAATACTACAGTAAACCGAATAGTTGCCACAAAATGTATACACCCGTAATGCGCTGGGGGCAAATTCATGGGTTGAAATGAGGTGCCGGCATTGCGCAAAATCTGCGGGGACAAATTCACCAATGATGTGACTGTTTTTAGACGTTCCAGGGTTAATCGCGGAAATGTTTCTCATTTTGAGCATCACTGTTCTATTATTGCTCTTGGAAACATTCCGTGAGTTGCTAATTGCGGTCTGTATAAACCCGGCCATTATGTGGTTAGGTGGTAACCAGCTGTTTAAAATTAAAGGTGTGCTTCTTAGTACTACATTGGCAGTGACAGTGAGTACGTCGAACGTGAATTAGACTTCTTGGTTTGCAGACTTTTTGTATTTAATATACGTTCTATCAAGTATGCTAGTGTTTTCGGCGTTCCACACTGCTGCATTGAAAACTTTAATAACTTTAGGCGGAAACGCATCTCACTTGTTCTCATTAGATGGAGCAGCCCGAAGGCTACTTTCATATTTTCTCCTGTCGTATCCTGCCCCCTCCCCCATCTTCGGAGCCTAGAAGACCAATTCAATTTAAATTGTGATAACTCCGAACATTCAAGAAACTACTGAGAACTAGTTATCTTATCAGTAATACACCAGGCAAAATAACCGGAACCTAGAATTGGTTAGTATCGGCTGCTACGCAAAATTGTATACAGTTCCATAAGTATATTGGTACACTGTGTGCGGTAAGTTTGCTACTCTTATTACCATTATGTATATTTTCAAGGTGTATTTTTTATTTACGGATACTATACCAGGGCTTATAGTGGTGGCGGGAGCTGTTTGTGGTGCCTTTTCTGTTTTTTTAGAAATTAACGCAAGACCTAAACATGCAAGACTCATTAGATGATGATACCACCTGAAATTACAGTGTATAAACGGATAGGTTTCTAATTGCGACGATTCTGCCAAAAACGGTACCATATCCTGCGCGTTTCTTTAACTTCATCTCACCACATGAGTTTGTGTCGCGACCGACAACCATTTCCGGTCAGCCCCACATGAGTTTGTGTCGCGACCGACAACCGGTCAGCTTACATCAATGACCTAATATACTTTTATACCTTATATTTCTACATACGTTGAACGATACTAACTAGTGAGACTTTGGCGGCTTACACGACATCACCTTGCAAAAAGCGGTTTTTCGGCATCCTAACATATCAGCGTCCACGCAAATGGTATCGGGCGAATAGAACGCTATTGAAAGGCCGTCTTGATCGACGCCAACGGAACACCAGTTTCAACCATCAACGCGACTTTAGTTCGCCTACATTGATGAAGTGCGGTTGATATACCTAGATAAGGATTCATGATTCATGGTATACTGGTAATATGAATGCGCGTCAACAGCTCTGATGCATTAGTTCGTTCACGCCCAAAAATTTTAGAGTCTCATCGAAGGTTTCCCGGAACAACTGTAACTGTTTCTGTGGTTTGCAAAGTAAGATGAGGCCAGAGTCTCATATTGGCGTGGGACCTTCCAGCAAATTTTAGACCCCTCTGGGGAAGGACAGAACTCTTAAGATTCAAGCGGAGCGATCGTCTAAATTCTCTACCGGTGAAAGTACTGAATTCATGAAAACGTTTTCTAGAATGCCAGCAATCCAAAAAGAGTTACGTCACTGTCTACCAGCTAGTAATTTCGAAGCCAATTTTTTCCCAAGATAACCAAATTAAGTGGCACCGCATATCCTGCGTAACATATATTACTCCGGCTCATAAGCTGTATGCAACTGGTTTGTGTTCAAAATGCACTAATGAGATGTTATAAGGTTCGTTGGCCGGCTAGTGAACTTTAAAACTACCTTTCTCAGGCTTCTACGATGGGTTTGGCAGTATAATCAACGTTGTTTTACTGCTACTCTTTCGACTGTGTGGCCAAGTTTAGAAACTAATCTCTACTTGCTTTGTCCACAATACGACGTGCTCTTAACAGTGAATTCAGCCGAGTTCACTTAGATGTGATACAACTCTTATCGTTTACGTGAAATTGTATTTTATCCGGTCATAAAAGAGACTGTGATTGCATAAGTTATTTTGTCTTTCCAGGCTTCTTACACAGGTGGCTGCTTGAATAACCGAAACTTCATGCCTTCCTGGCAGCAAATACAAAAGTCGCCCATGTACCATTCTTGTTAGCTAGTTCTGGGAGCTATGGAATGTATGGGCGAAAATCTCAATCTAGGAGAGCGCGCGCATAACATGAAGTAGCCTCTGGAAATTAAAGCAGGCTGACAAATCCGTTAGTCAAACGTAAAACATTTTCAGTTGAGGTTTTAACACATTTTAGAAAAATGTGTTCTAGGTTCTTCTGTATTCGGCCTCGCCGTCAAGTTTATTTCGTCTACTTCATCCACGCGTGCGAATCCATATTACCGCTGTAACTGAGAGACTTTGCGGACAGACTTCGATTAAATCCCAAGCACCCCAGCAGCGCCTAAGTTCTGCTTTTGTGTGCGCTGTGTTTCACCGTTGCGACCCTAAGTGGACGGCATGCGAACTTCAAGCTCACCAGATTCGTATCGATCTGGATTGATAAGTCTAGCTTGTTTGCCAAAAGCACGATCACCTTAGTCAAAAACGCTACAAATCTGCAAAAAGAAACGTATTGGCTCCCACTATACGCGTCAAGATATTCAGATAGGTAGATTCGTTGCAGACTTGCCACCATGGGTTGGTTGGGTTCTTTCTATCACGCACGCAATCAAATTCAAGTTATCTGAATGGTTTGCGCTAGTCAAAGGGCAAAGTGACGAGGTATTACACACTTATAAAGAAAACTTCCTTAGGTTTAAAGGACACTACTTGCTACCAAGTTGATGTTCTTGACTGCACCTACCACACTTGTTCCTGCCGTCATCCACGTTCACGCCAAATTCAAAAGTTTGAACGGCTTTTTATTAAGAATTGTTAGATTATGAAATTTATTTAATACATCCTCATTAAAAACACAGGCATTTTTGTTAATGCGCAATGGTTTAACATCTGGCTCATCTTTCAGACTTCCGGTTTCCTTAGATAGCTTACTGAATCACAAGGTGTGATCACAAGTCTGTTAACAACGTCTTAAAATATAGGTTGCTTTCTTCCTCATTGTTCAACGATTCATAGTCACAAGTTGGATGAGTCTACGTTGTTTCTTGTTCTCAGTAATTTAGAAGAAGTTTTCATCTAAATATGCATGACTGTAAAATCAAGGGAGATTGACTTAGTAAGTAATGATAATGAAATGTTAGGACATATAGTCATAATGTTGCGGATATCCCCATCTACCTTCAGTAGGTGGTCGAGCATTCAGCTGTGAAATACGTTGCCGCAAACAAGTGAACACGGTTTATTAGTCCTGTTTTCAACCGGATCACGTTCACTTCCACTCTTCTATGGCCTCAATGAAAAGACGGGCCCACCTCGAAGTTGTTTTGGCTCTGATGCTCGGCATTTGGCACATTATGAATTTGTCACCCTTGAGTGAAATTGCATGCCTGATACCCTCTTTTGAACCAGGGTGCACATTCACTTGGAAAATGGACCACCAAGATGTCTGCCATTTTTGAGTTGTTTTGTGACAACATGCTACCACTACTAAGTTTTAAGCCAAGAAACAGTGATCAGTTTTACCCCATCATAAATGGCTCAATAGGTTGACTAAACCAAAAATTTGAAGAATTAAAGAAACCTTCATTCTAACAAAATGTATTGGTCTGGCCATAAAGGTTGTCAGGAAAGTTCTCTAATCAGAAAGGTTTGGAAGAACACATATTCTTCAAGATAGTCAGGTTACTTGGCTAATTTTTTCGCATTTGCCGCGTCAAAGAAATTAGATCATAATCACTGCAGGTAGACGTGCCGTCAGGCGCAACTTAGGGCAACGAAAAAAGTGATGTTTGACCAACCGTGTTAGCTAATTTTGATCGTTCCACACAGAACAAAGCGAGTGGTGGACTGCTTACATTATGAATTGTGTCCTCCTTGCTCTCACCGGCCTGAGAGTATGTTTAAGTTAAAAATGTTCGCGTTGAACTTTCGTTTCTGATAAATAGGCAGATTGTTTGTTGTTAACGTCTGTGGGATGAAGAGGGGCGTGATAATTTCGGTGGAATAAAAAATTAAATAAATTTGCTTAGGGACATCTGTGTTCTTTCTGTGGTAGCTAAAAACCAGTCTGATTCTGAAGAACATCAAACACTTCAAAAGACCGATACCGAAATCCTCATAAGGATCCGGAAACCATGCTCATGCTGACTAATTTATTCAGTATTTTTTCATGAAAGCTTAGTGCACGGTGCCAATAGCCCGTCAACGAATAAAAGCCACCTGACAAACGAATCTGCAATTTTTTCGCAAAACAGCATGAAATTACTTCAGGAGAAAAGCCCTAGAGTAAGGTACAGGATACAATTTACTGTTCAAAAATTCAGCATTATGAATTACGATTATGAAATTACGATTTGGTAAAAGTTATATTAGTTGAAGTGGTTATTTTTTACGTACAAGGCTACTTGAAATATTTCAATATCTATTGGTTCTCAGCGGGAGAAACTTTTGACTTGGTCAAAACGAAGTTAGAAGGAAACAGAATGTACTAACGAAGCAAGCCCCTCCCGAACACCTTTGCACACTGAATAAGTATAAAGTTGCCGCATGGTAACGATGAGCCTAATTTTCAATATTCTCCAAGTCGTTTGGATCGATGCATAACCCCTCGATTTTTACAATGAAGCGTATTTTCTTTCTTCAAGACCACCTTTATTTCTCTCTTTAATTCAAAAAATTCCAGTATTAGACAACCACCTAGTGGACATCAGCATGTATCTATAGATAAATTCTAGGGAACTTAATCAGAGAAATGTGCGATGAGAGAATTCTCTGACAGTATAATTTGTGAAGGAAGTCTGAAAAAAGCCATGGAGGGAAAAATACAATATCTATGGTAAATAGAACAAAAGATATCACAAGACTGCTACACGTAGCACAAACAACTTTACCGCAGCTTTTAGTTGCCAGCAGTATTGACAAAGTAAGAAATAACGAAGGAAAGTTCTTGTTATCAATATTTGAGGTAAGCAGGACATTCGTCAAACGACATGTGGTAGACAGCTTGTTTTCTTCCCTACAAAATGCCATGAGAACAACACGCCAGAAAACTCAGCATAACGAACGACCACCAGCTGTGCGTAAAACGGTTGGCAGCCGAAATTGTCCGATAAACTGTTCTTGGTAGGGGGCTGTGTGGATCGTTGAGTGGCTGGACGGGTCGGTAATTATCTTGCAAAGGAGTTGACGATGAAGTGCGGAGACCGCGAAGTAGTTCAAGCTATGTTGAAAGTAGAGAAAACAATAGATAAATACCGCTTATAAAAGTTAGCTCTACCATCGCTTTCATCGACAGTGAACACCATAATTTAATCAGTAGATGAAATAATAATGAACATTTACCCTCGACGAAAGAAAATTCCGTGATAATGAAAACAAAGTTGGCTGAACAATAATACCTTAAGATTTTGAAGATTTAACACTCCAAGACGGTCAGAACTATCGGATTGAAAGATAACCTTAAACTGGCATTTACCCATGGAAAGAGAAGGACGATAGCATTATATACTGTGTGCGACTGTGTGTGGTTCCATGATAAATTCAACGAATAAATAATACAAGATAATAGTAACACAGGAGTAACCACAGCACGAGGAGCCGTGCGATAGAAGTGCATAACGAAGACGGAAATAGAGAAGGCATCTTCTCGTAATAAAATCAAACGGACTAGTTAACCGTTCAACTAACAAACATCTAGCTGAAAAAGTTGGAACAGAAAACAAAGGAAGTACAAATACAGACTTTCAAAAAGTGTGAAAGGAGGGAAATTGAGTTCGAAGAAAAAACTCAGTCCGTCTAGAATGTTGATGAAGTAGAGAAACAAATTTCCAAGTGTTAGCAAGTGTTAACCAAAATCAACACAGAAAAATTTTCAGTCGGCAGAGTGATGGATCAGTGGTATGACAGAGTTGACTTAAAACCATCGACTGCTTCTTGCAGTCAACAGGAAATACGAAACATCAATAAATGATGGATACCGGTGTCTTGAAATGTGGTGGATGACATGCTCGATTCTCCGTCCCTGGCGCCTCGGATCTAGACTTACACACCAGGTTACAAGGCAGCCAGGATAGGGGCAAAACTCGGAACTAAAGAACAACAGAAGACTAGAGTATAAGTAAAAGTTACGCTAAAGCGAGCATGGGACGTTTATTTTGCGGAAGATGGTGAGTGGCGGTACAGCCTGTCTATATGCTAGTTAATCAAACCGCTGGACGATGGTCCTGGCCAGTACGCTTGAGTGTCGTCAGATGCGTATTATCAAAATAAATGAAAAAAACTTGTTGCTAACAGTCATTGATTCGCCAGAGGAATCTGCAAGTTTACTATTTGTAGATGGTGTATTAGTAAACCAAGCAGCTAGACATGTTGATAATGATTTTGAGGCGGCTCTGGAGGGGCTGAAGATTCGTTGCGAAAATTAGTGGCCTTCAGAAATGCGCCTCTGCTCCTGAGCTCCTACTTGGTGACCTCATGGCGACTCACGGCCGTGTCTCAAAAGAATCTTAGGCCCAATAACTTCCTATGTAGGTTTTGCTGCAAGCGCAAATCAATTTATGGCTGTCGCAGACTTTTCAGCGATCGGATGGGTGAAGTGCAACACGATGTTGAATCAGCCGCAGATGTGAAAGAACCTAGTCCTCAAACACTGGAAAGCATTATTGCACCCACCAAAGCATGGACATAATAAGTCGTCAAATAACCTACACATTTGCGTTCGATGCTTATTCATTCTCATGTGTATTTGTTTGCCCATCGTTTTTTTCTTCAACTGAATCCACCCTTAGAATATCCCCGTGCCCCCACGGCACCTATTTAACTGGTTCGCTGAAAGCAATTCCGGCACCGTTTCTACGTTGATTCAGCTATAAGTTCGTATGCTTCCTATCCTTGTTTGGGGCCCTCAAACTTTACAGAAAACATTCGGATATTTTTACGAAATAAGACAATGTGTTGGAAATAATTTTGACATTCAGATTTTCCGCTATACTACAGAGTGTTGATGGACGAATGCGAATCGATGTGTGGTACTTGCAAAACACTCTTGCCTTATTGGTTGGGTGCGTGTAACTATTATTTCGCCACAGGATACTTGTCTGTTCAGCATTCTGACAATTCCGTCATTAGGATTGACTAAAGAAAACAATCTATATGGAGTTAAGGCGAAAAAAGCCGTTTTTTCTTTGCAGTTGAGGGAGCAGAATTATTAAGCGGATAAACCTATGGGCTGAAGGCAGAGTGAGAGAATGCCGTGAATAACATGGGTGATTCAATCAAGCTTGCAGTGCATCTATGCGGACTGCCAACCACATGAGGTATAGGACTGAAAATTTCTAATCTCACATTTAGGGGAATGCTGGTACTTAACGCACCAAATTTATCAGATTCAAACGACGCTTCATTGCGACTACTGTTTCGTGTTAGTGTTAGTGAGGAAATTTCATTACTTTTTTTAGCAAAATGTGCTAGTCCTCATTGTTTAATGGGTCAAATATGATGGCCTGAATAACATGATCTATATTTTGGCGTTGGATGATGGACACACACCTGCGAAACCAGAGATTAGAAACACCTGTTACATATGAATAGCTCAAGGTATCGTTTCGGGTCATTTCTCCAAAAATCAGCTTCAGGCTGAAAGTATTAGGTAATCCCAGTTATGAAATCCTATTTTAGGAAACATCTTATCACACGACCTTATTGATGACCTTGGGACTGGGAGGGAGGCTTGATGAAACTCCTTCAATAAAATATCGCTTGCCGACTACTTGTCTTAACGAAGACTGATTGAATTGCGAACACCACAGCAAGCGGTATCTATGATGCCGTTACGATTTCCATTATCTGAAAACTATAAATTTATGTTCAATCCATTCTGGTGGTCAGTAGCGTTGCGTAAATCTAAACTTAGTCCTAAAAACTAACACACATTAGATTTGAGTGTAGCTGTGCAAAGTTAAATTAGGGCTGAGTTTACAGTACTTGTTTTTTACAAGTTGGAACGTTCTAGCTGGAGTGCCAGAATGAATCCGTCATCCTCGATCCTATTT